CACAAACCTCTACACAGTGCACAGTACACAGTGTAACAACATTTGTTACGTCCCAGTTTAGCTATTGTCCACTTATCTGGATGTTTCATGACAAGTCAGTTAATAAGAAAATAAAGAAAATTCATGGGAGAGCCCCTGAGAATCACATACAAGGATAGTTGTTTTAGTTTCAAAGATTTAAAAAGAAAAAAGAAGAATCGGTTTTCATTCACCAGAGAAATGTAAAGGTTCTTGCTACCGAAATCTTTAAAACTCAAAGCAATCTTCATTTTAGTTTCATGAAACAAATTTTCGTTCTGAAAGATGTACCTTACCACCTTCGAAGCTGCAGAAGTATTTTTGCACCGAAAACAAAGACAACAGAGTATGGTATTGAAAGTGCATATTTTCTTGGATCTAGGATATGGCATGCTATACCATCTTCTATAAAAGAGTCCCAGACACTCAACAACTTCAAAAGAAAAATTCAAATCTATGATTTTGATTGCAGTTGTAGATTGTGCAGATTGTATATAGATAATTTAGGGTTTTTATAGTTATATTCTTGAAAAGTATTATCTCATTTGTAATTTAGATTTAATTTATTATAGTATCTTGTATTCAAGTTTCGGTTGGCTTAAATTAGCATGTGAGCTAAGCTAGCAATAAGCGCCAACCTTAAATAAATAAATTATTATTATTATTATTATCATTATTATTATTATTATTATTATTATGAATAGAACAAAACACTTTGTAATTCAAACCCACAATTTAAATACCTTCATAAATGTTCAAAAGTGAGATATGTTTAAACCAAACAAGACCCAGTGTTTTCAAGACACTTTTTTACCCTTTCGCATGTGAATTTGACAACAGCATTACATTATTCTTCAAATATTTCTTTGTAAAGTTGCCCCCAAACAAAGGTTTCTTTATTCTGGAATGATTCCTTTATTCGATGAGCCTTTAACCTCATTTCAAATCGAGCCACTTACATATTAGCAAGTTACAAATGTATTTTGCAGCATGAAGACCTCAAGCTCTCGTTGTCCTTTGGATCAATTGTCTATAATTTGCTTTAAAGGATGCACTTATCTATGTAGCTTTCTTACTGAAATTGTTCAATGTCGCTTGGAATTCTGGCACTATCCCATAAAGTTGGAAAACAGCTTGCACCATTTTCATTCATAAAATGGGCGATTCCAATGACCCTGGGAATTTCAGACCCATCACACTCCAATCTGTACCTCTAAAAGTCTTCACTTCTTGCCTTCGTGATTCTATCTTTGACTTTCTAAAGAAAAACAACTTCATCGACTGCGAAATTCAGAAAGGTTTTCTATCTAACATTTCAGGTGTCGTAGAACACACTGCTCTAATGGCACATATTATAAAGAAAGCTCGAATCAAACAACATACACTTGTTATAACTCTGCTTGATCACAACTTAATTCTTGAAATTCTAAACTATCATCATATTCCACCTCTCATATCAACATTAGTTTCCAGACTCAATGACTTTAAAACTCTTTCATAATCACACATGAATACCACACTCCATTAATACCTATTCGCTGTGGAGTTCTTCAAGGTGACTGCTTAAGCCCTCTTCGTTTCAACCTTTGCTCTAATACTTTTATCCAGTATTTCAAGGCCGAGAAATTTAGAAAGCTTGGTTTTTCTCCACATGATAATGAAAGCAGCTTCAACCCAGTCCACTGGTTCCAATATGCCGACGATGCTGCAGTTGTTACAAGTGGAAAGCGTGAGAACCAGCTACTGCTAATCTGCTTCTCGCGATGGTGCCAATGGGCAAACTTGATCATAAGGTTGGATAAATGTATTACTTTCGGCATCAAAAAGTCTTTAACTGCCTCTCACCCATATCAACCAAACCTAATTGTTAACAACGAAATTGTACCAGTTGTTTCTCAAAATGAGTCTTTTAAGTATCTCGGTCGTTCTTCTGACTTGAGATAAAAGCTCTAAAGCACTCGAAACATTATAAAATGAAACATTTTTAGCAAAACACCTCATGTGGAAAGAATATCCAACATTATCAATACATGGACACGAAGGTAATTTAGAAAAGAAATTAGAAGCCAGCAGGAAGACTAATTAAAAGACCAGCTTGCAAGTCAAGGAACTATAATTTCCTTTCTGCTAGAGAATTCTCTAAAGCATTTCAGTAGCTTCTGGTCAACTGCAAAAAGTTCTTGGCCTAAAAACATCTTGTTAAGATACCTCGACAACACGCTTGCCACTAGTAATAATCTATTTCAATGGAACTTATCTGAAACCTCCATGTAGCACCAAACCAAAAACAAACTTCGCTACAGCGGGTGTTGCCAACTCACATCAGAATAAGCCCAAACCCAAGAAACACAGCAGAAAAACAGCTGGCTTTAGGTGTATAATGATGCGGTTAGCTAAAATAAATTAATCAAAATTAACACCAAATCAACATGTTAAGTAAAAACGAAGCATGCAGCAAAACAACGAACAATTTAGACATGGTGGAAGCGGACGAGACGAAGAAGCGTAGAATTATATACTCACAAACTTTATATCCATGTAGCTTAAAAGCTCTGCAGACCAAACAATGTCTAAGCAAAGTAAAAAATAATCCTTCTTTTCAAAGCAAGACTGAGTACATTTCTGTTCCACAGCGAAGCACATCAAATATGATTTTTTCATCTTTTAGCATCTGCAAAAAACACCCCAAAAGCCAAGCGTGCAAAGCTTTTATAGCTACTGAGCACATAAACGAGGCTATGCCTAATTTGGGAATTACCCTACGTGTTGAAATCTGAAACACGGAGATAAACAGTTTCGTTTCCCAAGAGTTTTTATTTGTGCGTTACAGTCCACTTGCTCTTTTTGCCTCCTTCCGGAATGCTGCTTCATGGGGTAGCTTGCTGTAAGACATACCTTGAAGATGAATGCTACACCTGGAGACATAACTAGCAAATAGAAAAATTAAATAAATAAACAGGGGGTCAAAATTTGTCTAGATGGGTCTCCAAAAACCACATATAAATAAACAATCCTGCAAGAGTAACAATCCAGAATTAGTCTTCTTAATGTTGTTTATATCTTGGAATTGTATAAAAGAAATGCCCAAATCATTGTAGGCTTTTCATTTTCTTTGATTTTCTTATTCTGGGATAAATATGACTTTTATTATCTTATGATATGTAACCAAGTAAAATGCCTTTTCAGTGCATCGAGAGAGCTGAAGCATCCTGGTGAAAATGGCAGGCCCTGAAGAATTCCCATATCGACAGTATGCAATGTCACCAATGAATCAGACTTTGGTATCATTAACAAGCATTTTATCAATGGCTGGCTCCTTGATGATTATTCTAAGCTACATAGCTTGGAAGGACATTCAAACAGTGTCCAGAAAAGTACTTGTCTGGCTCAGTATCTGTGACTTCTTCATTGCTCTTGGAAACATTTGCGGAACTTTTTTTAGGCCAACAATGATTGAAACCCAAGACAAAAAATGCATTGTTCAAAGTTTTATTATGTCTGCAGCATCAATCAGCTCATTTTGTTGGTCAGTCACACTAGCATGCTGCCTCTATATGACAATTATTAAAAACAACTATCAACTTTTCGTGTATCTTACCCCATACTTCCATATTTTCAACTGGTCCATTGGACTGCTAATAAATACAGTTGCTGCAGAACAGAAAATGCTGGGCAATACACATGATGAAGTCACTTCTGGATGGTGCTGGATACGCCACCTCAACTGCTCCTCTAAGCAACATATTCATTGTTCCAAAGAAATCAACTGGATGTTGGCAAACTACAAAGCAATAGAAATTGTTGCCTATGCTGCCATCTGTTTTCTCTATTTGCTAGTTAAGATTAATTTAAGAAGAGAGGTGAGTTATGTAGCATGTAGTTGCTGTCTACAAAAGGGGGACATTTCCACATGCCATTACATCGTTACATGGGGTTAGTTAGGACTTTGACATTGGGGGGGGGGGCTGGCTACATTTTTTTACCAACATATAGAAATGACTATATGAAAAATAACGTACATAGGGGTAATGCACAAACGTGCAAACCAACACAGTCATGGGAGAGTGGAATAAGAGGCAACATGTGCATGTTTTAAAACTCAGTACGATCTGCAACCTTTTTTCAGGGACTTCCTAGAATATTGAGGGGGCCCTGGCCCCTCTAACCTCTCTTGCTACCCCCTGTATCGTTATCTTTGAGTATTTTCTTTACATTTTATAGTATTTTTAGTGAAGATTCCAAATGGAGGTTTTAACGCTATAGAGTCGTGGTATTCCTGAAGCATTAATATCGGTAGACTGGTCACAAGAAGCTATTTTGTACTGATTTTGACAACACATTTTGTAAATAACCAACTGTAAACAGTTGCGGCAAAGATCACATGAAGCTGTTTGGTGATTAGACCATGAGCAAGGAATGCCTATTTATCGTGACTTGATGATTGGAAGGTAGTCGTTCTTATCAATATCATTAACGTTCTGAAGACTGATATCAATCTAATACTTTGCGCTCTTGATAATATACCTTAATTGTGTTACATGTTATTTGAAACATACTTATCGTAGATGAAGTCACAGCTGCAAAATCTTGATACAAGTTCAGCTGTTTTGAAGATTGCAAAATCTGCAGACCGGAAACTGATACTGCTCCCCATCATTCTTGTACTTGCGAGAATTCCTGGAACTGTTCGGTTTCTGATTTTTGCTTTGAACAAGACACCATCAACCCTGACACTATGGGCAAAAATTTTACTTGTTTTGCAGGTATGGACATATTCTCTATTTTTTTTTTGTGTAAATGAATGTGAAATGTCAAGTTTTTTTAGTCATTGGGACATGAAAAGATAACATTTTAATTTACAGGCATAGGTAAAGTGATACATCAAGATTTCAGAGTCACAAATTTTAGGAAATTTTATTGTAATGACTAGTAATAAAGGTCACAAATCATCTTATGTAGCAAAAATCAATGACAACGCATTTGCTTAAATAGTTTTAGATTTAGCAGCAGTCTGTGTTGTGTTAGTGCACCTGCTAAATGACTTGCTCAATGCCTTTCGTAAAAATGTATTTTGAAGGAAACTAAGGGTTGTTTTGCCTGCACATATTCTCTGAAAATTGCTGTTCTCTATGAGTTTCATATTTAAAATGGCTTTAAAATCAATAGATACCATATTATTATGTTGGGGATATTTTAGGTATTACTTATTCTTTGTACCAAGGATGCCCCCCCCCCCACTTTTCTGCAGAGCAAAAATAAATTTAAAGGCAAAAGTGGAAGGAAATATACTATACTATTCTGAAAGAAACTGTGTTTAGTAATCCCTTAATTTTGCCCTTAGCTTTAGTTTGGTTGATATGTCTTTACCATAGAAGACATTTGCAAAACTGAATATGGGGAGTTAATCAAAAAATCGGTCATTGTTCAAGTTGTGTAACGAGGAACAGCTTGGCTTAGGAAATAGATCGAGAAACCTGATCCAGAAGAACTTGATGCCAGCACTAAAAAATTGAATTTCTTTTTTTCTTTGGCCTAAACTTGGCGCACAAGGCCTATTTGTTAAAGAAAACTTTCTCAAAAGTCTTGCAATTAGAGAGAAATCAGCTGTTGAAGGAAAAGAAAGTGTTGAAAGGAAAATTTTTGAGGACGTGAGAAATAGAGAATGGGCAGATTTGTTCTTTAAATGTATCATCAAGAAAACTTCAAAGTTTGATTGTAACGATAATTCATCCCTAATATAAACAAAAATCTAAACCCAATGATAAATTCTGTTAAAACTCATTTTGACCAGACTAGCGAGTCTTTTTCTTAAAAGCACTATTTTCCAAAAACTTGAGACCAGATGTTACAAAATAATGTTCTTACTGTACAAATTTATAAATCTTTTAATTTTAGTTTTTCTTAATCTTTAGAAATCTTTAGCTAGATATTTCTTCAATCGTTATTTCAGTATCAATGTTTCTATTAAACCGTGTTTCATAAATTTTTCTCCTCCATCTTATTTTGGGTACTTTTTAAATCTAAAAGGTTTCATTACGAGCTAAGTTAAAAATTATTCTAAAACTTTACAAGACTTTTCCTATTTCATGTCAACATTACAATAGACAAACTATGGGACTTATTGATAAAACACAGCTTAGATATATTGCCTCGGATTTTTCTCCAGTCAAACTCCATTTTGGATAAAGTTTCTGGCCATCTCTAAGACATCATAATTCTAAAAATTTCTTGCTGCCAACCATAGTGGTGGCCTTTTCTTAGCCCTTTCAAGACCTTGATGTTTTGGCCCCTCCACTTTCAAATACGTTTCGCCGGCCCTGATAAGTAATATCTTTTTATTATAAATCCTCTAGAATGATAGATATCAACAGCTGGGAAGCTATGATAATACTGTGTTATTTTGTGTTTTAAGCGAATATTTTATGTCACCATTTCTATCTCTTTGTTGTGGAGATACATTGTAGACAGACAGACAGGCAAGAGAAGCTTTGAATTGCTCAAAATGATTTGTTTCAGGGCATTGGTGACAGCTCACAAGGGCTGATTAACTGCATTTTTTTCTGTTTTCTACAACCAAGAGTAAGGCAACATTTGAAGGAGCTGCTGCCTACAGTTATCTGCCCCAGAGCTTGCAGGTTGACCTGTTTGAAGGAGCAGCAACTGGACCTCAGAAAGGATAACTATTATTCAAGCGATTGTGACACAAGTGTGTTTGCAAGTGCGAAAGACCCACTTATTGACAGAAGCAAACTGCAATGCAAATCATACAATTGAAGTTTCACGATCTATTCTTGAAATTTTAATCAACAGTCCTTGAATTTTCCGACGAATTCTTGAAATTTCAAGGTCGAGGGTATGTTCAAGAGAATGCATAAGATTTTAGATCTTATCTTCCCCATCGTATGAAAAAATATTTTATGAAAAGCTTTTAATTTACAACGCGTTAAATAAACAGCAAAGAAATAAATCATTGTCTATTGCCGTACTGACTAAAACACTGGACATCCCAAAACCATAACATGCCTATTGCATCTCAGCACGACAACAATTTCTTGAATTTCAAATTTTTACATTTGCAAAAATGGTAATGATCACTGTTTAAGATTTTTACTTATGATTATCATAATTTGCATGCTCTAGTTACACAAAGAGCCCTAAGAAGCTTTAGTTTAGTAATTATTTATATCATGTTTATATAAGAGATTTATATAATTTCAATGTAGCACAATCACAGATGGGTAGGTCAAAATTTGTAATTCGATAGACGAAAATTTAGTCTATTTTAGTTTTTTGTATTCAGAATTTTAGTTTAGATTTGCCTTGCTTACTTTTTTCTAAGTTGCAGTTGCAAGTCATTTTTGTGCTTCGATACTGACTTTCCTTTTGTTACGAAGTAAGAATTTTCTTTATCATTGGTCTTTCTAGACCAGGTTAATTCTGAGGTAGGTACCACTTGGATGCGGACAAATTGAGGTGGTTATTTTCAAGTACCCACATATGTAGGGGTTCAGAAAAGTGATTGTGAACGGTGATCTGCCGGGAGGGTGAAAATCCTTTTGGAAACAACACAAGTAACATCTTTTGCTTGATAACAGTAGTTACGGCAATTTTTGAGTACATTCAGTCGAGAACGATGCTTTTTCGTAATTAAAAAGGTCACGTGATCACGCTCCACCTTTGACCTTTCATGGAATTCTTGGCTCATCGTTACAATAAGTCAAAATAATGCTGCTATGAATATTTTAACAACATTGGTCATTACTTTTAGTCAAATTTACAGAATATATTGTGCTGTTTTGCTGTGCTTATCGTCCTATACTGTTTCACCCTTTATGTCCCGGCAGATCACCATTCACCATCACTTTTCTGAACCTCCACATGTGTGGGTACTTGAATAACACCACCTCAATAAGTATATTTTAAACTAATACTACAACAAAAAATATTTCTGAAATAACATATCAGTAATAAGCGGCTGAATTTTGAATGGTAGTGAGTTTCTTAAGGAAGATCTTTTGCAGAATCGTCCAGGGGAAAGCACCCTCGCAGATAAAAACCTTTCAGTAGACCAACGATGGAGCCCAGAGAAACACTAAGCAGATAATACTAATATATGTTGCTAAGAAACATACTTGAGAAGAGTCTGGTGATATCAAAATGTTTGCTATCGAAATTGATACTGATAATTCCCTTTCAACAAATCTCACCAGAAGGTAATGAATATGAAGCACAAAAACCTGGGCTGGAGATTTTACAGAACATTTTGACCCTCGAAGTTCCTATCTGTTCTTTGTATATTTTGTAATTGTATCTTTCTATATGTTTACTGAAAAATGACGAGACAGATATCGATCTATTGTTTGAAAATGTTATAGGAAAAAAGGTTTCAAATAAAGCGATGACCTCTGTAAGCTGTTTTTTTCAAAAGAAAATACCAGCATAGATAACATATTTATGTTTTTAAAAAGTGAATATATGAGAAGAGAATTCTCAATCGGGTTTTTGCTGTTAATGTTCTTGCAAAGCCGGTTTTAAGTTGATAATTTGCAGCAGATGCCATTTTCATTCTCATTGTGCCAGTGCATGGTTGGAAGGGTAGAAGTCGCCGTGCTTGCCTAGTAAATGCTTAACGAAAGCCAAGGCGAACTTATGTAAAGGACTGAAAGTTCATTCAGTGGGTAAAGTCCAAGGACGATTCCCAATCTGGTGAGCAGAGTCCCAGGTTAAAGAACTAATTGTAGAGCCAAATCTGTTTCCCTGACTTTAAAGGAGACTAGATGCTTTTTTGAAAATAATTCCACGGCTATCACCTGGCTTATTCAGCATATCCGGCCCTGGTTGTAATCCGAACTATTTCAATCTCTTTTTTTCATTGTTATTCTGCAGAAAATCTCTTTTCCTATTCTGCAGAAAATTTATTATAAAACCAACTTCGTTCCAAGCATCATGTTGCCTTTTCTAGATGCCAATTCGATAAGGAAATGTTCGAACTTTTTTAAGACGTTGGTTGTTTTTGTTGTACTTCAAGCCTTTTTCCCTTCTTCTACTTTTTCACCCAGCTTTATTCCAGTCCAGATTATCCTAGAGTCAGTTGCTCTGATTCTGACTTTCCACCTTTGTATTGCTTGCCACTTTTTTTATCTCATTCCTCATGGTTAGACACTTGAGGAAGTATTGTAAAAGAAAGTCAACTGGTATTGCTTAGAATCATCCTTTGGTCAAACTTTTGAATATTTTAGATGCATTTTTTGGCCATCTCTATAATGTCATATTTTCAAATTTTTACATTATTGCAATCTGACCCCCCCCTCCCCACTTTCAATAACGTATCGCCAGCCCTGTCCATGCTACTGATGTTCTCATCTTTGCTGCTGCTCAACCAAAGGTCGGGAAAATATCAACCCATTATGCTTTGACTGAAAAATTACATGTCAAGATATTTCTTGAACATCTTGGACATTTCATTAAGCCCATGATTTGATCTGTGGGATAATACTATTTTGTTAAAGATTTTTATTTTTGAGGGGTTTAGCATTTCACCAATCAATAGTGGGGTCTCTTATTGTCGTTGTTATGCAATTTAGTGATAGAGACCCTACAAGGATACTTTATGCAGCCAGATTTAGCCCTAGAAATTCATACACTATAATGATAAAATTCTCGATCACAACTACATTCTCCCCCCATTTGAAAGTCCTTCAGCTAGAAAACGATATATTTTCCCCAATATATAATGGCATGATTTCCCTTAACCCATTATTCTACCTCAAAATTAAATTTTCAGTGAAAATGACGCGGAGGTTAAGGATTGTAGAGCCTCTTTGTCAGGGATGCTGGAACGACTAAAGGGGCGGGCTTGAGTAAAAGGGCATTTGAAAAAATAATTCCCAGCTACCAACAATTCTTTCGTAGCTGTCATTTTCCTTCGATCTTCTGTCGGTTTCTTAAAAATCGGCTAAATTTTGGCATAAGGAATTTCTTCACAAGTTTCGAGAAATTTCGTCATAAATTAGGCATTACAGTCGGGATTTCATATGAATCTCATGGATTTCCTACAAAAGACCGGGGTCAAGAGCACTTCTATGAATAGGGCATTTAAGCCCCCAGCTTTAGCCAAATGCAACAGGGGCGGTTAACCCCCTGCGTCCCCCTTCTCTGGCGTCCCTGCTAAAAGCTATATACCAATACTCTTTTAATTAAGCCTGTCTTAAAAGAAAAAACTTTGGTGATACACGTCAACTTCATTTGTTTTTTGGGGCCATTATTCGACTCTTTTGCCCGGGCCCTAAATTTGGAGCCAGCCCGCCCCTATAACTTGTTATTGATTCGTATGTCGCTGAAAAAAGTTTGAGTTTGTTTACCAATCTGTTCGTTAACAGGCGATTCCCCAATTTCTTGTTGGTCCTAATGCGGAAGTGGCTGATACAACCTTCGACTGGCGACAAAAACTAAACGGTCACATGCTTGGCACAAGCTGGCCCACCACGAAGACGAAACAAGCAATCGCTGTCGTTCTTGGCTGTAAAACGAAGACTCATGGATACTGGAAAGCATTTAGTAGGTAAGCTCGTGTCCTTTTCAATCAAACAAACTCTATATTACCTCGCATATCTGTGGTTAAAGCAATCATGTTGGCAGCGCTCGGGGTCATATAGGGAAATCGTTAATAACTCCAAAAATTGGACTGATATCTTAAAACAAGGCTTGCTTCAAACTACCTTTTAGATGCTTTTTTAATTCAACTACGGTAATTTTAGCAGTGTAAATCGCAATGTTTTTCTTCTACGTTAGCTTGAGGCGTGGCTCCTCCGTAGCTATTGGAGCAAAGAGACAAAACTCGTTAAAAAGCATCGTTTTAATTCAAAATAAATAGCAAAAGGCAGAAATCGCAAAGAAAAATACACACTCTTTCCATTTCAATCCAAATTTCAAACATCCTGCACCAAAGTTACAAGATCGACAGTCCACCTGATTGCACTTTTGGTATTCCGGAAGTGTGTATTTTCGAGGTCACCGCTAGATTTGTCAAGTCCTGGCCCATTTGCAGTTGGGGAGAGTTTTGGATAGCTTGCTTAATTCTTATGTGGTCTATAAAATTTTGCTTCGTTTGCAAAACACCATTATGAAATAAAGCGGCTGACTGCTGAACGTTGGAACGACCCTGTGTAGCATGGAACGACCCTGTGTAGCAAACCTGCTGAAAATTGTCCCCGGCGAGAAATTTACTGACCAGGGAATCCCCTTTCGAAAAATTAAAGGACCCTGACATTTTTTAATTTCATTACGTCAACTGCAAGTTGAGATTTTGTCCCCAGTCTGTTTTCAGCTCCCTCTTTAGCACCACACAATGTGAAGAGTCTTCTAGAATTATGCAGATTTTCTTATAAGAGGCTTTCATCAGCACTAAAGTATTAGGATTTTGGAGTTTTAGTTAAGTGCTAAAAGTTTCTAGTTGGTTTCTTTAATTTAATCAAAACCGTCTCATCTTGTGATTACAACAAGAACTAAGATCCATTTGAAAATGCAGACTCCGTACCCTGGTTACAACGGCCCCAAGAAACCAGGATAATGCAGTTTCGTCGGTGCGAATTTTATATTGGGGATGGGCTGTCTATTGTATTGCCCCTATTCAGCACACTTTTATAAAGGAAATATAGTGCAGTTTGACAATCATTGGAGGCGTCAGCCCCAGCTCCAGCCCCAGCCCCGCTTTCGACGGCCTTGATAATGTATTGTAGACCACCGCGATGGCAAAGAAATAAATGTTCCCGTGAACTATTTTTCTGAGACTAAATACTGTTAAAGCTCTATTAAGCCCCCCTCTATTGAGCCCTTCTCTCCATTAAACGCCCCTTACCAAACCAAAATTCAAAATAAGCCCCCTCTTTATTAAGCCTTCCTCGTTAGCCCCTGATGTCAAACAAAGAAAACATGCGCATTGCGTGGGTCTCTTGGCGGGTGTGATGATGATAAGATCGTGTGCATTAAATACTACCCATGTAAAGATTTCCTTGTGCGCTTTAGAAGTCAAAAGGATACTGATATTGATTCTTTCGAAGAAATCCCAGAGCATTATGGTATTTTTTTATATTGAATTTTGAATTATTAATAAGCCCCTCCCTCTCTAATAAGCCCCCCCCTCTAATAGGCCACCCTCTCCTTTTGGCCCCCCTCTAAGGCTGAAAAAATTAATAGAGTATGCAGTTTTCTATCCCTATATCGACCTGTTACCCCTCGTGAAAAAATCCTTGCCAGGCTTGTTACACAGGAGTGTGTTGGATATGGGATGTGACATTTTTGTACAGTTAAAACATATTCTAAGGGCCTGTTTACATGGAGGTGAGTTTCCCGGCTAACCGAATTTCCCAGCTAGCTTTGGCATCAGAAAACTTCCTCATAAGGAAACAAATTAAGACTGAATATCGCAATATGAAAAACTATAACAGGGAAGCCTTTTTTCTCGACCTGCAAAGTGTTGATTGGGAAATGGCTAGATCCACCGCCTGGGATGACCTACCCTGAGTGCCAGAGCCTCGGAGAGTCTAAGGATGAAGAACGGGGGAAAGGAAATGCGAAGGAGAATCCTTTCCTCTTCCATTCTCCTTCGCATTCCTTTTCCCCCGTTCTTCATCCATGTAAACAGGCACTAAAAGAGATATGGTTATCCTATCTTTATGGGGAATTTTTAGGGCTGCTCCAGGAAAATTTCAAATTACACCCGGCAATTTTAACATTTAGTAGTAAACCGATTATGGCTTTAAAAAACAAACATTTTTCTACACAATAAAGGTTCATTTCCCATCTTGTTTATATTTGGACATCTTTGTTTTTTCCATTTTGTTGATTTTGATCCTTATTCTGACGTTTTATGCTCTGAGGAGTGTCAGACGATGACGTTTTAGTATGTAGAAAAATGTTTGCTTTTTTAAAAGCCATTTTCAAATTTTGTACCGCCAAAAATTTTTCATATTAAAATTATTCTGTTTGATAATGCATTTAGTTGCATATGACCCTCTGCACTTAGTTTTGAAATAAACAAGGAGTGGCAGAGAATACATTTCATTGTGCTAGTAGAGTCTGTTTACTTTAGAAATGGATTTTTATAGATCATTCAATACATTCAATCACTGATTGTAACACAGACCCTCTCAGTGTTTATCCTGTAGTCTAAAACTGGTACTGATTTTGGCTCTTCTTGCCATTTTAGGCAGCATAATGAGGCCCAGCCTCGCTTCCAACAGCAGCTTCCCATTGTTTCCAAATATCACCCAAAGCAACAAGTACCCATACGCTGAGTATGCCAGTTCTGCAGAAAACCGAGCATTTGTTATTGCTGCCTGTATTCTCTCAGTATTCGGATCTTTAGCAATCATTCTGTCCTACATATGCTGGAAGGATATTCGTACGACCTCGCGTAAAATACTCCTGTTTTTAAGTTTGTCTGATTTCCTCATTGCAATATCGAACATGTTGGGATTACAGACATCAATCAAAAAGAATTTAAGTGACCCCTTCAATGACTTGTGTGTTGCTCAGAGCTTCATCACGAATTCGGTGTCAATTATGTCGTTCTTGTGGACATTGACACTGGCGCTGTACTTATACACGGCGATCATTTTGAACAGGCAGGAGCTTGGAAAGAGGTTACTTCCGTATTGCCACGTGGTCAACTGGACCCTTGGGCCAATCATCAACGGTATTGGACTTCATAATAAAATGCTTGGGTATTCTGCCGATGCCCTCACCGGCGGCTGGTGTTGGATTTACCATAACGAAACAGAACCAAAGTTACAACAAACAGAAATTATATGGCACTTTTTAGACGCAAAAGCCATCGAGATTGTGGTGTACAGCACAATCTTTGTCGTTTACGTCAGAATCAAACTCAAACTTCATAAGGAGGTAGGTCATTCTAACTTTATGCTATTTCTTCGAGAGATTCCTCTTACCACTTTTTTGGTGGTAAAATCCGTTAAAAGTGTTGGTGAAGAGATGCAAGGCTGCGTAAACATTTAAATATTATCTTGCTCATATGATGTTCAGTGGCGTAACGGAGCAGTGTGGGGCCCTTGGTGAAAGTCGTGTTTTGGGGCCCCCAACTAAAGTTGAGTCAAATTTTACAGCCTAATCATTCACTCTTTGAGATTTTCCCAGAAAACCCTATATAGATAACATGGAACAATATACGAAGAGAGATTCTGCCGCCAAATATGTTTTTACGCTCTTTAATGGTGGCACATGAAATGAAATAACAACTCCTCTCCTTCCCTAATACTTTGAATGTGAAACTTTTTCAAAATATTAAAGAAACCTGGTGTCAATAATAAATGTTTGCTTATGTCACCTTCACACTGGCACAGTTAAACCAGCTACATTTATACTAGGTTTTGAAAAAAGCAAACATTTTACAACATACTTAAAGCTTTTTCGTCTGACACACCTCAGAGCATAAAACGTCAGAATAAGGGTCCGAAATAACACGATAAAAATATATACCCAGTTGTGGATCGAAATAGGCCAATCAGAAAAACGCAAGCACAAGACCGGTATAGTTGACCAATCAGTGCCGCGAGCCTAAAGAAAAAATTACCAATGGAGTCCAAGAGAGAAAACGAACTCCTTTTGTCTACACAATGGCGGCTTTTTCGTTTTTATGTAGATTGACTCCAAAACTGCTAGATGGAAGGACGACCGGGCTCTGCCAATTATCCGGAACATGTCGTCATTATAGAGTTTTGCACAATCTGGGTTGTCTAAAAGATGTTGACCAATGGCAGAATCACTTGTTTTAACAGTGTTTCTAGACCTACAAGATCGAGGAGGCTGTTCTCTTTGAGGGGCAGTTTTGTTTCGTATGTTTCAGGGGCGGATCTAGAAAATATTCTGACTGTCGCACACAAGGGTGTGGTCGGAAATATCATTCGTGACCACACCCCTTGGTTTTTAAGGATATTCGCCCCCTTCTCATTTGAGCAGTCGACACGCACATTAAATTGGCTTTTATTTAGAACGTGGCCAAACTGTTGTTTATTCCTTATCTGAGTTTTCAATTGATACTACAGAATCATTTGTGTTGTTTCTTAGCCAAGCGTAAAGCAAGAAAGCGTATTGACGGTTTTCCTTTCATAGTCAGGCAAAAATTCGAGTCGTCTTTTTCGATTTGTTTATGGTATACGATGACAAACCAGGCCACGCGAAAAAATAAAAAACATCATTGCAATGAATTTTCAGAACTAACCAAATAGAACAAATTTACACAAATATTCATAAAACCTGCATTAATAACTAATATTATTTAATAGCTAAACCAAATCAGCGTGTAAACATGTATTTTACTCCGAAGAAACCCCTTCGAATTCAGGGGAATACCCAAACAAGTAAACATTACCCGGAAATATCTGAAAGCTGATAAAGAACTGAAAATCCACATTGAAAAGATTCACTTTGAAAGTTTTGTCTAAGTGAAAATTTTTCTCTGCCAACGTCCTGAACATTATTTCTTCGCCAGAACCAAATCGCAGGTATCGCCCACTGATTATCACCCTAGTCCAGTGCATTTATTGACATCAGTAGGCCCTCGATCCATGGAGGAGGTAATGAACGTCGAAACTTGAAAACATCCCGTGTCGAATGTTACTCTGAAAATCTAGCGACCTTTGTCTTCCAAATTACCAGGTTTAACGTATTCGTTTTACATGTAGCCGACTCCATAACACAAAATTCCTTTTCTCCAGTGAAAAACTTGCCCATGCCAGGCATAAATATGCTCAAAACTGCACAATACACGCAATGAGGACGGATTAATCTTAGCCCAGTGGTGCGACCTTACTAAAAAACATACTGTGCACCGAAGTTCGCACTATCTAGCAATTTGATTGGCTAAATATTTTGAAACAAAAGCTGTGCGAATCGGTGCGAACGTGCTACTAATCATACTGTGCACCGAAATACCCTAATCTAACTACATTGGTACCCTGTTGTTTTTTAGTCAGGATGCTTTGAGATTTGAATCAGATTGAATCAAGATCGAGATAGAATTAGAGATTGTGTTTAAGACTTTGCTTCTGTTTATGGCCAGGTTTAATTTAAATCATGCATGATTCAGACCTTGGATCTTCCTGCTCCTGCACGGTGTTCAGTTGTCAAATACAACTGAAGCATAATTCCCGAGTAAATAGAATCAAAACACAAATGAGAAATTTGCCAATAAGCGAAAAAGTTGTTGTTCAGCAAAAACCTCTCTCGAGACAGATTCTTAGTATAATTTTAAAAGTTTGACTGTCGCATGTGCGAACGGTGCGAACGTCTAGATCCGCCCCTGGTATGTTTGAAGGAACATGCTGTTTTATCCTATCCCCCAATCTTTGGGTTGTGCGCCCTACGTAGCCAGAATCACATTGTGTAGACAAAAGGAGTTCGTTTTCTCTCTTGGACTCCATTGGTAATTTTTCTTTAGGCTCGCGGCACTGATTGGCCAACTATACCGGTCTTGTGCTTGCGTTTTCCTGATTGGCCTATTTCGATCCACAACTGGGTATATATTTTTCCATCGTGTTTTTTCGGAACCTATTCTGACGTTTTATGCTCTGAGGAGTGTCAGACGAAAAAGCTTCAAGTATGTTGTAAAATGTTTGCTTTTTTCAAAGCCATTTTCAAATTCTGTACCGCAAAAAAAATTGTTCATACTAGGTTTTATTTCAACCAATCAAACGATTTCTTGGATGGACCAATTAGAAGGCCCCATTCAATAACCTTACTTATTTTAAGCTGGTTTAACTCGCAAAAGTGAATGGGCATTATACTTCGATAGATACTGTCAATATTTGAATGACTTGACTTGTTTTCTGCAACAAATTCCAACATAACTTTAAGCTTTCTGTCCTTATTTGGTCCTTATGAATAATGAAGAATATTATAAGACCTAGATCTAGATGAAGAAATGTAATCAATACAATTTCCGTCCAACTTAAAGAAAGGTCCAACTTAGGCAACTGTAATTCTTTTGATGTATATATTATAACACGCAGTATTCTTTCCCACATGACTATAAACAGAACAAATTCGAAATTACCCATTTTTTCTTTAAGGCCTTTTGCACCATCTCTTTCCTTTTTCTTTTCTAACGTTAGAATCAAGTGAGTTAGAACTTTCATTATGTGGGGATATTATGTGTGGAAGCCTTATTGACATGCACATGCATTATCTTATGTCATTACTGTGTTTGCTCACAAATCATATCCCGTCCTGCGCCCACTTTAATGTTGCCTATCAAGAAACATTTGTTTTTATACAAAAACCCGCTTTTCGAAAAGTTTCTCGGCGGCCCCTTCGGGGCCCAAATGTTTGGGGGCCCTTAGTTATGTGTTTAAAGGTGCACACTGTGCGTTACGCCACTGATGATGTTATATTTGAAACCACGTGTTTTTTAGTTTGATATTTTCAGCATTAGCGACCTTCTATGTGCTTTTTTGAATTTGACTGTCCATCTTTATCTTTAGCTGAAAATCCGATCCAATGCACCAATGCAACCGGATGTTCTAAAATCAGCTAAAAGTGCTGATAGAAAGTTGGTGTTCGTCCCTATCCTTCTCATCTTGGGGCGAATCTGGAGTTTGATAAGGTTCCTCGATGTTTTGGTAAGCAACAGGGTGTCGCACAAGCAAACGATTACCGCATGGGAGAAGGTCTTGTTAACCCTTCAGGTTCTGTATTATTTTGATATTTTCAGAATACTTCCTAATTTTTCTAGCAAGGATATTAAAAGCAAAGAGATGAGCAAGGAAATGAGCATTGAGAACGAACTTCTTTATTCCAATCTTTGAACGCAGGCTTGTCGTCTGAAACTGAGAAATTTTATACCCATCAATTTTCAATTGATTCGAATTTTTCCATCTAATATTGCTTACTCCATTACTCCAGTCCCCAAAATTCCCAAAGTCATTTTATAAATAATTTCCATTTTTCTACAGGGTGTAGGAGACAGCATTCAAGGGTTTCTGAATTGCATTTTGTTCTGTTTTCTGAATCCAAAGGTGAATAGGCATATCAAGGATGCCTTTATGTATTACGTTTGCTGGAAGAGACACGCCTCGTCTTCTGATCACCAGAGTCATCTGAATCAGCCAGGCGAAAGAAGTCTGAATGGAGGACACGAATCTACATTTAGCTCGCATTCTCAATCTACGGATGATAATCGCTCTCTTTTAGCACCTGGCTTGCAAATTAAGAAGTACGGCTCAAGTTGGCAGAACGATTGAGATCAACAGAGAGTGGCGGAGGAGGGTGATGGAGGAAATTAAAGGAACATTGGCGATGAAATCAAGATGATAATATTATTCAATTTTTATCTACTGTCAGGGGGTTTTACCGAACAGCAAATGATTTCACCGACCAACCAAAGAGTTTTGCAATCAATAAACTATCGATATTTTAGGCAGTTGAAGTAGAAACGATTTACAAGTCGCAGGGGTGCAAAATTCGCAATTCTTCGCAAATTGCTTGTATGCAAAGATCCTGTGTACTCTTAGAGATTTGGCAGTTACCCTGATCCTCTAGTACAATTTTAAGCTAAACACAAGTTTAAGTATAAACATTATACTGCAGTTATAAATTTTTAGAGGTGAGGCGATCAGTTTATTGTTTTTTTCTACAATTTGTATGTTAGTGGCGTCAGTATCTAATTATCTGTGAAGATTTCGTTCATTATTCCTTGCATTAGACAAGGATGTAAAAAAAACTCTTTTGCAATAGTTTTGTATATTTTACAATTTGTATCTTTTTCTTTCTTGAACTTTAAAATTTTAGCACATTAATTGTTTGTACTAGTGAATCATGATAAGGAAATACACATTAATGGTGCATTTCAATCTTGCCTAGCACGATTTTTTGTATTTTTGCTCTCGTTAGGTGGCCGACATATGATACCAGACTAACTGACGCCCTTTTGCATTAAGATTTAAAAATGGGGGGTTGAAACAAACCCTTCAGCGAAATATATTACTTGGATTAAAGTTCTTTCCGTATTGTCTAGGGGCAACTCACTCTTGAACAGAAAATACTTGATTTCCACAAAAAAGGTATCCTGTCGCTGTGTACGAAGAACACTGGTACTGTTTAGATGCTGTTGTAGATAGTTATGAATACGTTTATTTGTTGCTACAAAAAATAAAAGATGCCGTGAATTTCTTCACTGACAAATCCGTCTAGAGCAATGGTGTAGGGCTATCAAAATAACAAGGGGGGCTCTTGCACATATTGTTGCTAATAACAGCAGGAAAAGTAGAATTTGGCTAATTTTTGGCATCAACAAGTAGGCTCAGCCCCTGAGCCCCCTAGCTCTACACCCCTGGTCTAGAGTCAATAGAAAGAAGGCCTTACATCAGGCTAAACAGCTGTTGCCAGTTATAGACGATCTTTCTCTGCCTGCTTTGTATTTGTCTCAGGCATTGACTATGTCTCAGGGCACTCGGGCAAAGCTAGCGAAGTTAAAGTCTTGCAAAGCGTACCTCCCTTGACTCCGGCATCGCTGACCACTATATTTCATGTGCTATAGTCAGCGTTCTTTTGATCAATCAATTTTCTACTGGTTATTTGTCTGTTGGTTAAGCTATTAACCTGAGTTTCAGGTTAGATACGTTGGCTGTGAAACCTCTTTTGCCGGGCTTCTGTTGTTTTAAGTCAAAATTAAAAATGGTGGACAATTTATTTTAGTGCTATTTACACTTCAACAGTATTGCCTGGACCCGCTCAGGATTCTGCTTGGACATTCGTTAAATAGTGTGCTTGTGAAGGTAGCTTCAAGGTAGGAGCACAGGGCCCTCGTATGCGAAGTGTTGAATTTATTTAGTTGGTCACCCTGTGTATAAGCGCCTACGCAAGTGTCTTCTTACTTTTCTGTATAGAGTATTATCTAAAAAATTGTTAAAAAGTTGTCGCCTGAAATCATCACGAACGAACGCACTGAAATCATCACGAACGAACGCACTATCGTAACGAAACGTTGTATTTCATTAATCTCATTCACGAATCATCACAGTCTAAAATGTAACTGCCAAGGCCCCCCCCCCCCCCCCCAGCTGACATTTTCATAGGGGCGCCAAAACTTGTAAAGGGCGCCGAAAACTCAAAAAGAGGTTTGATACGACCGACTTGTCTGGTTATTAAGTCTCTAGGAGGCCAGCAAAGACAAAAAAGACGCCATAAAACTCAAAACTTTATTGGGGCGCACGCCCCCATACCTTCTAGAACATTCTCACCTGAAGGGCACGTCTTTGTGCCCCTTCAGTACTGTATTATCCAGACAAAATATTTGTACTGTTCGCAGGGGCGAAAAAATTAATCAATTTTTTAGAGGATTGTCAGGAAACTTACGTAGTTAAATTCTTTCGTGTGGAGAACACAGCACACATAGTGCACACATACTGTGTTTGAGGTGTCGGGGGACAGTCGGTGTTTAGGGTGTCCGGACTCATGCCCCCCTTCCAGGGAAAATTTTGATTTTCGATGAGTTTCTTTGGCTCTGCTGGCCTTCAGAGACCTGCTCATGTGGGGGTCAGTAGATTTTGTCTCATTGCTTCATTTCTCATGAAAGGACCAATTTGTATCGACGATACAAAGATAGGATGGATTCTTTTCCTTATTACAAAGTAATGAAATCCATTTTAAGACTAAAATTAATCAAACGTGCTAGAAAGATGCCTTGAAAATAGCAAAATTTTGATGCTAGCCCCCCAGGCGAAAAGGGCCAGGCCGCCACTGATGTCATCGTATTCTGACAATCTCGTAAATGTTGGAAACTAAGGACGTAGGACCTTCCGTGTATCCTCACAAGGATACTCAGCCAACTACCCAACACGAAGAAAATCAATGGCTTTATTCACAATAGCAATACATTTTTACCAACCGAAATTCTTATTGGCGCTATATCTGTATTAAAAATTACATGATGCTACAAAGGATCGATTGATTTTGCTAAAAGCCGTGCCAGCTTCTAAAATCGGTTTCCTATAGTTTGCTCTTAAGTCCCGTGCTTAATTTGTATTATTATCCTCAGCAACGAATTAATAAGTTTTAGTGTCTCCTGCCCTGCATGGCAGGGTCATGAATTACATCTCTATTTGACATTGAAGACAAGAACAGATTTGAAGATTTTGTCCCAATCTCTAAAAAATCTATACACTTATGTTAATGAGGTAAAACATTTGAGAACGAGAACAAGGAAATCGATCAATACCATCCAGTGGCTTTCCGCCAGTGAATATTCCTTTAAAAATAAGATTTTATTGCTGAAATTTGCTCCTAAGAGTGCAACTTCCGACGAATTTGAAGTATTAAAAATTGTAAAAAGTTCCCACTTCGGCGGCAGCCATGGTGCTGCCAAACGTAGTAACCTTGTCATAATCTACAAATCTATAGGGTTGCAAGGTATCATGAAATGGTAGCCCAACCGACAGTCTGGCAATTCCAACGGAAGATTTCCTCATTGAAGAAGTTCGAAAAAGACCAGAGTGATGAAAGAAATGAGGCTCTTGGAATGGATCTGATCACAGCAGAAATCCTGAAAGAAGGAGCAGGTGAAGTAGCACAATGGCTGTTACGAACCTGTAACAAAATTATGGACACAAAGAAAGTTGTTGTGCTTCTTCTTTTGAACCGATTAAAGAGCGCCGTTGACAACAGAATGAGAGAGGAGCAAGCTGGTTATCGACCTGGCAGGTCTTGCGCAGATCAAATTATTGCTCCAAGGAGAATTGTGTAGAACACGATTCAATACTAGCAACAAGTACATTTTAACTTTATTGATTGCGAAAAAGCGTTTAATAGTGTTGATCGAGAATGTCTTTGAAATATAACAGTATGGTATGGAATTCCTTCTAGCTATATCACTATTCTTAAACACTCTAAGAAAACTCCTGCTGTTGGTGAAAACAGAAGATGGTTTCGCAGAAAACTTTGGAGTGAAGCCAGGAGTAAGACAAAGATGCATGATATCGCCTGGTTGTTTGGCCTCCCGATTGACTGGAGAAAGGTAAGCTAACAAAACGGCAATGGAATCTACTGGAGCCAAAGGCAGGAGCTATGCAATCTAGACTTTGCTGACGATATCGCATTGATTAGCAACTCTCGAAGCGGGTTGCAAAAAGCAACTGACAAGGTGGAAGAAGTAGGAAGCTTCATTGGCCTGAAAATAAACAACAAAAAGAGAAAGTTTCTGAAAGAGCTGTAGTACGTAAACGACTTCGTCTACCTAGGAAGCTCTATCAATTGATCAGGAAATGGGACGTTGAACTGAATAGGAGAACTGCTCTTTCATCATCTGCTTTTTCACAACTCGCAAGTGCAGCGAAATCGAAGCATCAAGTTAACGGTGAAGATTAGAATTTATAACGCATGTGCTCTAACCGTATTCTTGTACGGGTCAGAAACTTGGCAGTTAACTGCAAGGTCAAAAGAAGAAGATCGCACCAAAAAACGCTTTGCGTGAAAGTGAGAAAGACGGGGGCGGTGGTTCTGTCATGTGGCCAGGATGAGCTGCAATAGATTTGCTAAGCAGACGATAGAGTGGAGACCACGAAGAGGTCAAAGAAGAGCTGAAAGGCAACGAATGACATGGCAAGCATCAGCTGAAAAAAACTTAGGATGAATTAGCACTACCTGGATGGAGGCAAAGCGGCTAGCGCAGAGCCGGGCGGACTGGAAGTAAAATAATAAGAAGAAGAGGAAGAAGAGGAAGAAGAAGAAGGAGAAGGAGAAGGAGAAGGAGAAGGAGAAGGAGAAGGAGAAGGAGAAGAAGAAGACGAAGAAGAAGAAGAGGAAGAGGAAGAAGAAGAAGAAATAGAAGAAGTAGTAGGTATCACAAAAGTTGACAGAGAGAATGAAGTGAAGAGATTATGATGTGTAACATTTTAAACTTTAATTGTTTATCTTACAATACAGATTTTGTTGTTAATAGTACTAGTAATTCGTGATAATTGCGTTATGTTATTGTTTCAGGTATGTCATTCATTCTTGAAAGTCAATAGTTTTTTTACTGCAAGATCCTGACCTAGGTTTCTTATTGAAAAACCATAATCCGAATTTTTAATCTCAATGTTCGTATGCATTTGGGGCTGAAGAGCGATTCTTTAACTGCAGATTGTGTACAACTTTTTCTCTTTCTTTTTGAGGGCCGTCAGAAGCGGGGGGCTGGGGTTGCTGGAGCCCTCTCTGTACGAATTTCGTTCCGAATGCACTGTTTTTTCATAAAAATATAAAACATGTAGATGAGTAAAAACACTAAATTTAGATATGAATTATAGATTGCGATTTTCGTAACTATTTTTCTAATTTTCTTATTCTAGACCGACATGATTTTTTATATAACTTTTACATGGGAGTGAAAAATATCATCATGAAAACTGAAGCTGAGATTGGCCTCGTTTTCAGACTTTTTCCTTGCTTGGTGATGACCAAAAATTGCTTTGCAGTTTTGTTGCGAGTTAAGGCGTAAATGGCAATGAATTTATTGACTGGCAAGGGAATTTTTGTTATTGAGAATTAGATAAATTTAGAATTGATTAAATTTTTTAAATGGGCTCAATACCGTGAAGTTTTACATAGCCAATAAGTGGTTTTCAAATCAAATCGCGACCCTTGCTTTCAAAAATGGTATCATGGTCAAAGTTCATAGACCCACTGGTGGTGGAGGGAAGCTGTCATGAAGTTGGACACACTTGGTGCGAGTCCTGCTTGGAAGCAACGCTGGAAATCTTCATTAACTGCGTACGCTACTCCGTAAAGCTGTATTCACCAATATATATGGTATGATTATGATCGGCCCCTTTTTTTGCATTTCATTTCATTAAAAATTCTAAGCAACTAATTACAATAATACTTAGTGAATAAAAGATGCAAATGTAAGATACGATTTTAAGAAGATAATTTACAATTTTCATAAAACATCATTTAACATAAAGAGCTGGTGGACGTATGAAAATAAACTCTGTTTAGAGCTTTCGAGCCATATGCCCTCAGTGAAATATTTTTATTAGCTAAGAACCGAACATCTGAATAAAAGTCAAAGATGTACAATTGCCAAACTATAAAGATTTGCTTTCCATTTATACTTTGATTGTAGATTTAAGATCTCTTCTGAGTTTGCATTTGTCACTAATTTGTTATTGTAATGTTTATTACTACTGCATGCAGGTTAAGAATATTGTATAATTTTGTCCCAAAGGAACTTAAAAGCTATCATTTTTTCACTTTTGATTTAAAGCAATTGTTCTGTTTATTTGGCTTATCCCACCAGTATTTACTTAGACAGATGGTCATATCTTGGTTTAAATTTGTGATAACCAACTGAAAGT